ATGGCAGTATCAAAATTACAGTTAAGAAGCAACAATAAAAAATAATCTTATGGTTGAGGGTCACCACAACACAAGGAACTGTATTAAAGGGTCGCAGCATTAGGAATGTTGAGAACCACTGCTCTAGACCCAGAAGTCAGTATTCCCAGGATCAGTTTTATTCTCCTATCTCTCCTGTCATCATCCAGGGGTGGAGAATGCTTTGTGGCCTGAATTGGATCAATGCATTTGATAGTTTATCACTTGGGTTTTCTGGTAGCAGGAAGACAGGGCACCTTGGAGCCAGGCTGTCATTCCTCCCTGTCTGCTTCTGAGTCAGCCAGCCTCACACGCCCCTTTCTTTAGGTTCTCTGTGAAACAATCAGTGATCAGTTCCTTCAAAGTTCCAGCACCTGTCTGTCGAGATGTCTCAGACTCAGCTTTCAAACCCTGACATGACAATCTTCATTCAGTTCCTGGACCATCACAACACAAGGATCCAATTCCTGGCTCTGCCACAGAGGGACCCTTCCTATATCTCACCCACCCACAGCTCACACAATTGCTACACTACAACCTCCATGTCCAGCCACATAGAACTTTTAACTTCAAGGCACAGAACTTAACTCGAATTAGCTGGAGCCCCATGCTCTGGCTCAGGAAACAAAAAAGCCTGTGGGGATGTAAGCTTCAGGCGCAACCCAACAGTATTGTAAAGACTTTTTTGGGTCTTTCTCCCTTTCCTCAGTTGTGCTCCTCCTCCTTCTAATTATCCCGTCCCTCATATAGCATTGGATCTGGGGCATCTTGGTCTCATCTTCCCATTGAAATGGAACTGGGCAACATCTGTCTCTCTCTAAACTGCAAGGACTTGGGGTAAGAAGGGGGTTGTTTCTCAAAGGTGCTGTTTTCCAGTTAAGGGGAGATGATTACTTACTAGGTTAAGAAAAACAAAAGGTGTCCCTTATGCATGAAAGCTTCTAATGTGTCTGCATCCTGGCTCCTCTGCTCTTTACTGGGTGTTCTTTGTGCAATGACTACAGAATCAGCCTCGTCATCCATGTATACCATCTGTTGCTGGGATGTGTATGGCTGCCCTAGAGGACCTCGAGACCACCCTGTAAGAAGATGTGCATGCCTCATCTCAGGCTGTTCCCAGTCTAGGTGCCAGACAGGAAAGCCCTAGGGCACAATGGCCAAAGTTCACATTTCCTATGTTATTGTGACTGTCATCACTAGGGTGCAAAACAAACAGCATATGACAAAGCCCTATGCCTTGGTGATATTCAGTGTCTCTGACCACCAGAAGGTCCACATTTCAAAGAAATGGGATTTACTGAATTTAATGAAGATAAAGTTGATAATATGGTGGATGACAGATGGCTTATTCTCAATGGCTACAGGATTAAATATGGTCCCCTTTGTCATCCCTTGAACAAGTGTTAGGACCTGTGTTTGATAGGGCATCTAACAGCAGCCCTATCTTTTACAACCCTCACCACCAGTAAATCCTACTTCCTGTTCACCTAAAATAACTAAAATAATAATGATAGTAATACAAAACACAAGAGCTATTTGATCTAAATATGCTGCTGACCAATCTTTCTAAGCCTAACTCCCCTCTTTGGAAGGTGAGGATGAGAATAGCTATTTATTGTACTTCAAGATAGTGAAGTAACAACATGAGCAGGGTCTGGCAGCACAGGCTGCTTATCCCTGATTCTCAGAGGCTGAAGCAGGAGGAGTATAAATGTTCAAGGCCACCCTGCGCAACTTAGTGTGAGACACAGCCTTGAAATAGAAAGGAAAGAGAGTGTACTAGTTGGAACTCAGCTACAGAGTATGTTCCTAGGATCCAAGAGGCTCTTTGTGATGCCCACAATCAGAAAGAAAAATAAAAGGCAGTAGTAGGGTAAAATAATTATTTAAATATAAGTAAAATAAAAACCCTGGAAGCTTCGACTGTTCTGAAGTCTCCGAGTATTTTTAAATCTATCCCTAACTCAGAGAAAGCTTATCCTCTAGCACCAGGGAGGCTGGAGTCTCTCCTTTCCCTCATTCATCATTTTCCCCTGGGGATGCGAAGGGCAGGGGATAGAGTATGACCAGGGAGAAAGGAATGCCATTTCTGTCTGGTCTCAGACTCTGTATGTCTCAGTGGGAATGCGCACTTTGTTCATTTCAATGTCAACATCACCAATCATGCTACGTTGCAGCAATTTATTAGTTCAATAAGTATTTTTTTATTTTTTGGATGCTAATCCCTCATCCTTCCTCTCTCCCTCTGTCTTTACCATCCGCCATTTCCCCCAGCCAAAATCTGAATATCCCCAAGGATCTGTGCATCTTGAAAGTCAAACAAAGAAAATTCCATGAACAGCATTTAGCTTTGAGTCCATTCTCCTTGATGTCAGCATCCTTCAGAAACAAAGTTCACCCTTGTCTGTTTCCTCCTTTCTCATTTCCATTCCCACCCCTGTGGGTCAAACCACCCTTTCACAGGGGTTACTTAAGACCCGTGTGTCAGAAAACACAGATATTTACATTACGATTCGTAATAGTAGCAACATTATAGTTATGAAGTAGGAACAACAGTAATTTTATGGTTGGGGGGTCACCACAACATGAGGAACTGTATCAAAGGGTGGCAGTATTAGGAAGGTTAAGAACCACTGTCTCAGGGGGACAGAAGGACTTAAGGGAAGACAAGCATCTTCTAAGAACATGAATTCCTATACAGAACTTTGAGCACCACTGGACTTGGTGGTGTAGTGTAGTGATTGTGTGGGCTATATCTTGCCAACTGGTGTGTAGGCTCTTGAAGCTAACTCACACCTTTAATTGCTCATCGGATACACTGCAGAAGACCACACAGACCCTTGTTAGCCTGGAAGCAAAGCTCCACTCTTATGCTAGTATCCTTCCTGCATCCCCAACAACACACACTCCACATACAGTGACCACTGCAGGTTTCACAGGACTTAGTGAAATCACTGCTGAAAATTATAAAGGCGTGGGTATATTTAAAAATTAAAAAAAAAAATCTTTCCCAAAGTAATGAACTAACCATATTGGAAACAAAAAGGGAAGGGGCAGGTTTGATATGGCATGGTGGAAGTAATGAGTCCAATTCAAGCATCATCAACAAAGTAAGAAATGTAGGAGAGAGAGGCCTGAGAGGATGGGGAACAGAGGAGACAGTGTTCAGTGCCACCAGCAAGCCCACTGCCTTCTTGGACTGAGTGCCGCAAGGCTACATGCTATGACAAATGACTTTCCATTCTTCCCTAAGGGAAGAGTGGGGAGATTTTTTTTTTGGGGGGGATTTCCACAGCTACAAATGTGAAGGGGCAACATTCTGTGCAAATAATTTAGAAGGATAGTCAACAGATCAACAAGGACTTCTGGAAAGTAAACAATCCCATTGGCTTGCTTGACATCAGTTCTACACTTGAATTAAACTATTCATCCTAGCCACGTGAATGATTACAACATTCTTAGAAGATAATCTGCTCTTTACACAGACTAAAGCCCTCGCTCAAATGTCCCTATTAATGCAGATTCAAGATGTGTGAGGACAAATGGAAATGGCAGATAATTGTGACTTCTGGATTATGTCTGTATGCATGTATTACCTAGTACCTATAGACAGAGTCTTGCTAGGTATCCACATTGGCTTTGAACTCCACACCCTCCTGCCCCAGTCTCCTGGGAAATGTCACTATATGGGGTTATTGCTAGATTGTTTTTCAAGTTGTCTGAGGACAACTCTTAGAACTTGTCCTTTTCTGGACTGCTTTATGGTACCCTTCGCTTCCCTCCTTTGGAGAGTGCAGCTTTTAGTCATTTAGTTTTATGTTGCCCTACTTTGACTTTCCCACAGGGATCCTGAGCCTCACAAACTGATAGGAGACTCATAGTCTTTGTTAGGCTGGAAGTGGAGTCCCTTTCTGGCAGCCAGGATCCTTTCCCACCCAATCACACATCCCATGGGACGTGTCACTGGGATGAGAAAACAGAATCCTAAAGGTGAATGAGGTTAAGACAGACAGTCCAGAACATTCCTAATTCAAGGTCATACCGACTTTCACATATCTAATTCGTGAAATTTATTTTCTCTCAGTTCAATTAATTTTCTTGAAAAGAAGCATGGATGGAGGCCAACAGTGGAGGAAAGGGATGCCTCTGGGCCAAGATCTGAGAATGATCAGCTCCTTATGGTTTTAGGAACAAAGTGCCAAGACCTTAAGGATTTGGATTCCAGGAGAGCAGTCAAGTTGTTTTCTTTAGGGCGCAGTAGCTGAATCCAGACTGGGTAGTACAATGGTTTTCGACCTTCCTAAAGCTGTGAAACCTTAATACAGTTTCATGTTGTGCTGGCCCCACAGCCATGAAATTATTTTCGTTACTTCTTCATAACCGTAATTTTGCTAAGGTATAAAAATATCCGTGTATTCCGATGGTCTTAGGTGGGCCCTGTGAAGGGGTCCTTTGACCCCAAAGGGGTTGCAACCCATACATAGGTTGAGAACCTCTGAGTTAGAGAAAGTCAGAGGTGAAACAGTGGGTAGATAGATAAACAGACCTCTTGCCTAGCAAGCAGAGGGCTTTAAGGCAGAGCCTCCACACAAGAGAAACAGATAAAACACGCCTGAAGCCGAGGAAGGAGAATCGCGGTGAGTTGTCCAGGTGAGTTTCAGGCCAGGCTGGGTGTCAGAATGTGTCCTCATCTCAATCTTTCCTCACGGAAGACTATCTATTAGAGGAGGGAAAGCCTACTTAAAGAGAACCCATCACAAACTTCATTTCTAAAGAAAAGGCCGCTCGCACTGCGCGGAGCGGGCAACGAGCGGGTGCGTGCAGCACTCATCTGCAGGACCGCAGACCTGCCAGTGATGCATGATGAGTCAACCACCAGCCACGTGCCACTCCAGCCCCGCAGTGTCCAGGGATTCAGGGAGCGCCCCTCCTCCAGTCCTGGGGTCCGAGTAGGGGCCCCTGCTACTGCGGCGGTGGCAGGAAGTCTCCGCGAACTACAAATCGAGGCATGCTGGGAACATTCCCCCGCTCCTCCCAGGAAATGTCCTTTGTCCAGCCCCACAGGAAACCCCAGCGAGGAGGCAGCGGGCTGCTAGCCCGAGTGCCAGCCTGCGGCCACACCGCCGCCGCACCCGGCAGACGCGCGGGCGCCGGGCTCCGGCATTGCGCTCTGAGCCGCCCGGCGCATCGCAGGTAGGAGCGCCGCTGCGACTGGGCGCGCCCGCTTAGTGGATGGGGATGTGGAGCTGGGCACTGGGACTGACCATCTCGGGGTTGGGGTGTATGCGGTGGCTGAGCTGCTGCGTGAAGCTGTGTCCGGCACACTGGACCGTGGTCTGCCATCCCGCGGGCTCAGGAACCGTGGACGCATGGGGAGCCCTCGCGTCCCTAAAGCTGAGCGAAGCTCCCTTTGGGCTCAGTGGTGAGGGGCGGGGAGGAAGAGGCTGAGACTGCGCTGCTAGAACGAGTCGGACCGTCCCACAGACCACCGAAGGGGGCATCAGAGACCCCGGGAGACCAAGCCCAGGGAGGAGCTTGCAAGGCGAGCAGAAGGTGAAGGGCTTTGTGTGCAGCAGTACACCGGCTTAGACTGAGCTCCCATTGCTTGCTCAGTCAGCGCCCCCAGTCCAATGTGAGGAAAGGTAGTGAGGGTGGGGACTTTGAGAGGGGCGGCAGGTTAATTTGGGTCCCTGTCAAATGTGTCTGTCCCCTTCTCCCATCTGCCTGCCCGACTCGGATTACCGTTTAGGGGCTGTGTGATCAAACTGGGCAAAAGGCACAATAAGGACCCGTGGATGGAAAGCAGGGGCTAGGGGTCGTGGTCTGGCGTTGCTAGGATTACCAGTCACAAATGTCCACGTTGGCTGGTTCTAGGCAGGTGGTGGACAGAGCTGGAGCTCGCAGCCAGAGGGCTTATTGAGGCTCAGGTGGCCTGGGGAGAGGCATATGTTGGGATGAGGGAGGGTGAAGAGGGGCAGTGACACAGGCGACCTGGGTGTATCTTACATCCAGACTGCACAATAGCAGGCCTCTAGAATGGGATTTTACGACTTCCTCTGGGACTTTCCGTGATTTCCCATTTTCTTAACGACCCCCCCCCCCAACCCCCGGTCCCTCTGCCCCAACCCCCCCCCCCCGTCCCCAATGAATCAGCTGCCCCTCCACACAAAGTACGAGGCATACTTTAATTTGGTGGTGCTGTAATCCTGCCTGTTGAGTCAGGCACACTTGGCTGTCAACATTCCCATACAGTGGGTCTCTTCCCACAAGACTGCTGTGGTAAAGGCGGTGAGGCAACGGCTGGCTAGCAAGCTCGTGGTCTTTGAGAGCTGCGGTGGACAAGTGGGCAGGGTTGAACACGGCTGGAGTGCGACCCCATAAGGGAATTCACCTGCCTCTGTGGCCTTTCTGTTCTTCCACGTATATCCAAGTGTATATTCCTCCTTTAAGGAAGTGTGTGGTTATTGCTTAATGTGCAGGACACTTTAAAGCCAAATGAATCTCTTGAGTAGGCAGGAGAGATTACCTAAAGGTCCTAGGAGGAAGGATGCTCTAGACTCTGGCTTGAGGAGGGAAGACGGTTTTCCACGGGCATTGCTAGTTAGATGAAACATGTAAACTAAGTTGGAGTGAAATAACTGTAGTGTCCAGGCAGTCAGTGTTGGGATGAAATGAAGGAAGAAACTCTGCACTAAAAAAAAGTCTCTAGCTGCTCACACTGGCTGTGTGTGTTGGAGGTAGAATCCTTGGAGGAAGGTTGACGGCCCAAGAGAGAATGAGAAAGCCCGAGACTGAACCAAATGGAAGTCAGGCTGACTCTAGGTCATGCAGGACACACACACAATGGCATTCAAAAACTGCTGGAATGAAGCAGCGAGTGACAAGACATCAGGAAACTCAGAGCATGCAGCTAGATTGAAGGGACCAGGGTGACCTCACTGGAGGCTGCATGTCTGAGGCCGATGGCTTTGCATAACATTTCCTTTTCCTCCTGCCAAAAGCTGTTTGGGTTTCTCCAGAATCTGCTTGTCTACCTAATTTTTTTAGTGTTCTGGGGAAGGAAGGAGAAAGTATAAAAGTTAGTTACTAAAAAGGGTAAAGTAAGACAAGAAAGAGCTTGTCTGCTTCCAAATCGAGAACACAGAAAGCCTCAGTAGGTTGAAGAGGTCCAGATCGCAGCCCCGTGTGGGCTTGAGTGCCGTTTGAGACGCGGTTGTTAAGGCATTGCTCCTCCTCCCTTCTTCCCCTCTTGGCAGGTTTCTGAGTATACCACATGCTATTTAGTGTTAATGTAATTGACAAAGGCAAATAACTAAATTTGGCGTTCAGAGTTCTTGATATATCCAGTGTCCACCCATTTCCCTATTGCAACAAACAGCTTTCATCCCAAGATGCAGCACACGTTCTTGAGCCTTGGTCCCTCAGGACAAACCACGTGCCTGTAGCAATTCCTGCACTGCCTTTCATTATTTTTGTCCCAATCCATAACTCCCTCACAGGAGCCTTTCGAGAATTCCTGGTTGGTATTAATCTTCTCCTCATGGTACTTTGTATTTTGGTGACATCTCTCCTAGTCTGTTATGAGAGCTGTTCATCTTGTTCTCCCTTTAAATTGTAAACACCTCGAGGACAGTGATTTTTTTTCTGCCTGATGCGTTATAAAAGATGCACAAGGATGTTTTCTTTGAAGTTCATAAATAAATGAAAGCAATGAAAGAATACACACATCTTGTATTTATTTATAGATCAGGTCTTATGTAGCCCAGGCTGTGTAGCTAAGGGTGACCGAACAGCTCCACGGTTCCCATCCTTCTTGCCTCTATCTCCTGAATGCTGAGACTAGAGGTATGTTTCAGGTCACCTTATTTTATGCTGCACTAGGGATCCAACCCAGGACTCGGTGCAAACTTGGCAAGCACTTTACCAACTGAGCTACATCCCCAGCCTACGTACAGCTTATTTTATCTCTTACTTGGTTTCTATAGTAAAGCCACAGAATCTTTCTCATAGACTTGGGAGGACTCATTGTGATGGAAAATAAAAACCTCTAGTTCATGGCACACTGCAGTCTTTCCTTTCTCCTGGTTTAAAAGACTCCAAAAGCATTTGTCGTGGTGTCTAGTAGAGGATGTTCATGAGAACCATGCTATTGAGCTTCTTTGACAATGTGGATTTTATACTCTAGCAACATATGGAATAGATTAATGCATGTGCATAGTCATATTTACATGTCTACACTGAGGAAGGTGATTTTCTTCTCAGCATTAAAGTGTTTATGAGATGGCAAGACTCCGAGGACTCTTCTACACTTTGCAACTGAGTCAGGCATCTAACGTGCCACTTTCTTCTTACAGATTAAGCTGTCTATCAGGGCCAAAATATAGCACACAGAAGCATAGGGCAGATTATCTCCTCAAACTTTGCTTCCTTCCAATATAGTTTATTCCCCACTGGTAAACAATTGAGTATTTTTCTTGCTTTCTTGTCATGGGATTTATAGCCATTACCACTTACTGAATACATTATAGAAAACATCAATGATTACACTAAGACATCAGGCTAGGGATATGCATGCATTAGGTGGTACATTGCTTGCTTTGCAGGTACAACGACATGAATTTGATCCCCGGACCCCATGTTAAAAAAAAAAAAAAAAAAAAAAAAAAAGCCAGGCATGGTGGCATGTGCATGTAATGTAATCCTGGCACTGGGGAGACAGAGACAGGAGGATCCCTGAAGCCAGCCAGCCTACATACTTGGTGAGTTCCAGCTTACTGAGTGACCTGGCTCCTAAAAAGATGGGCAGCACCTGAGCAATGTCACCCAAGGCTGTCCTGTGGCCTCCATATTCATGTGTAGGCATGTGTACCTGTGTACGCACCTCCACACGCACACAGAATAAACCAGACAGCTTACATGTGTTGCCTTATTTCATCTGATAACTGACCTTATTTCCATTCTAAAAGTGAGGAAACCAGCGACCAGAGAGACGACAAGAATCTTGCCTGGAGCCCAAGATTCAGAACTGGCACTGCATTGGAATGTAGGTGTGTTGATCACAACTTTCAGAACTGCTTTCTGTGGGAGGGACTGGATCTCCAGCCTTTCTTCCTCTAGAGCCTCCACATTTGCAGGTTTCATGCCACAAACATTGTTGGGCTCCAAAGTCATCCTCTGGCTTTCATTCTGAGAAGCAAAGTTCTTTCTTTACAAACCAAATAACAACTGTAATAAACTGCATTTTTCATGCCTTTAATTTTCTACGGCCATCAGTTGGAAAGACCAAATTTAGAATCCATAAGGCCTTTGGGCACAGAACTTTGCGCAGAATTACTGTTATTCTTCCTTTTTGTTTTCTTCTAGCCTCTCTGAATTCTTTTCTGTCCTCTCCAGGCTAAGTCTCTTCTCTTCTGGGTAGGTTGGCTTGGTCATTCCAGGCCATCCTTAGCCTCTCCTTCAGTCTCTGGCATTGCCTAAAATGCCTGGGTTTTGTTGATTTCTTCATAAGAACTCAACCGAGCACGTGGTAGGGACACAGCACAGCATGTCATGTGGTGGACTTTCAGAACTCTTCACGATGAATCAGTAGTCATGGGTAAATACAGAAATGGAGGCATGAAGCATTTTAATGTTAACAGTTGGCTTCTACTGTAGAAGGAAGACAAAGAAACAGATTTTCCTAGGTGTCATTCACACTTTTCAGTGGGACTGACTGCTAAGCTCCAGGTGGAAGCCTGCAGGGCAGCCTGTGCTTTCCTGTGCTCCTGCTAACGTCATTCTAAATGGTGGTGGAAGTTAATGATTTCAGGTTGCGTGGGTGGGGCCCCTGCTTCAGTCATGTCCTTGGAGGTCTGTCTACTCTCACCGGAGCTAGGGAAAGCCTTTTTACTGCACATCCAAGAAAACCGTAGGCTTTCTGAGTGCTAGCAGGGAGGGAAATAAAAAAGAGAAAGCCCGGGGTGAGGAAGCATCTCTGATAACACCTCTGAGGGAGTGAGGAGGGATTTGGGCCTTTCTTCAGCAAGTGTGATGGAGCAGCCTCTCCTCCAGGGGACAGTGCTGTCAGCTGTCAGTCATGAGACTGAACCTGTCTTCCCACAGGCAGTTCATGGGATAGCTGTGTCTCTCTACACAGCAGGCCATGTTCTGGGCATTTGCAGGCTAGACTTGGCCTTTCTTCAAGGAGGTGTATT